TTTGAACTTTGCAACTTTGTTTTTTCTCTTTATACTTCTCCGAATTTAAAAAGCAACAACGATCTTGTGTTCAAAACTGGCAGCTAGGTGCTCTGGTGTGTGTGTGTGTGTGTGTGTGTTTTAAAGCGTCCTTGACTGTCTTCTAATGCAGTGGTTCTTAACTCTGGCTAAACTTATGAGAGTCACCTGGGGGTATTAAAAGTCCTGATGCCCAGACCGATGAAGTAAAAATCTTGAGGGGGAGAAGGATACATTTTTTCTAACTTCCAGGTGGTTCCAGTGTGACCTCAGGTTGGAAACCACAATCTATGTTTAATATCCTGATATATTGATCTCAGATCCTTGAGTTGCCAATGCCGGGGCCTTGGGCTGCTGAAACCCAGAAGCCTTTTCCATTTATCCCCAAATGCCATGCAAATGACTTTTTTTTCCCCTCTGAGCCAAAACATGTAAAAGATTGAGAAGCCCAGAATAATGGGTTTGCTTACAATGCCATTTTCTTCAGATTTTTATTATGTTTAGTATAGCTTTAGGGTGATAATTGTATTTTACGGGATAATTTCTAGTTTGCCCGTTTGTTTCACTGATTCAAGCACACATTAAACATCTAGTTTTGAAGAATTGCTTTACCGAAGTGATAATAAAATATATTTGGATTTATTATAATTTACATGATCTGTTAGCAATCCCAAATTATTTTATTGACACATGGAATATGTTAGTAGTCCTCAGTTGGTGTCACTGAAGGACTAAGTAAGGTTTGCTATTTCTAATGAAAAGTTCTTTTTTGCTTTGGCATATGCCGGAAGCCGGTCCATCCTTGCTGCTTGACACAGTCGCTGCAGGGAAGAAACATCTGCACAGCATATGTTTCAAGACCTGGCATACTGTTCTTTAATATGTTTGCTCCCCTTCTTAGCGCTATGTGTTCTAACCAGGCCCACCTCCCTGAGAAAGGTTGTTTCCCCAGGTGGGGATGTTTCCCTGGAGTTAGGGATTAACAGGACTAAGGAAGGAAATAAATCAGTAAAACCCCTTAACTAAGTGCCAGGCGGGTAGTTAATCACCTTAACTACAAACAATCAATGGCTTTGGAATAGAATGGATAGGATTAAAATCAACAGAGCTAGATAGAGATAAGATTTTTAGCAAAGGTCAGATAAGAAACTATAAACAGAAAACAAGGAACTGTAGAAGGTCAAGGGAGGACCCAAAACATACCATGATATAGAGGCATGCTTATAGAATCGAGAAGTATAAAATACAGCTGTAACAGGACAATAGAGAGAGCCTGGCTATGCTGATCATCTGAACGCTGTCTCTGAGTCCATCATTCTTTGCCGACTCCATCCACACCTTTGGGAACCCCTGGACCACTGGGGCTGGACCCCGGCAGGCATAAGCTGAGCATTAAGATAAGACACATCTTAGATCCATTGACCTTAAATCTGATTTTGAATAAACTGAAGACCTCAGTAGGTATACATGAATATATACATACACAATGAGAGAGAAGTGGGAAATTTTTTTTTAAATCTTCACCGAAAGTAATAATGTGATTAGTCATGTAAAATATAAAACGCTTTGAAAGCTGAAATAGGAGGCTGAATAAAACTACCTTTCTCCACTTCTGAGACTCAGGTCTACAAACACATGCACACACCTATGCAGCGTAGGCATGCTCATGAATTAAAAGCAGGAGCCCGTTAAGTCCATTTGAAAGTCATTACAGTTCAGAATAAAATTCATGATTCATACTGTCATTTTACTTTTCTCCTCTCCCTCTCTCTCCCCCCCCGCTCCATTTCCCCCCCCCCCCCCCCCCCCCCCCCCTTTTTTTCATTAGAACAGTTCCAGCTAGTGTAGGCACAGCTCCCAGGAAGGTGTACCTGAGGCCATTTGGAGGCACTTTCTTCCTAACTTTCATTCTTTCCTTCCCTACTAGTGACACCTAGTGGTAGCGGCTGGCATGAGTTTTGTTACCTACGACAGAAAACTGGCTTTTCTTCTGTGAGCTGGCCCCTCAATATCTTTGCAGATAGTTTCACTTGTCCCTTCTCACCTTTGAGCCCCGTTCCTCTGCTCTGAGCATGAGGCTGTTTCTAGGCAGGGTTTTCCAGGACTAAGTCTTTCCTCTCAGAAAGGGTCAAAAACTGCCTTCAGTCCTAAGCCAGCCTGTCTTGTGAGCTAGTGAAAAAAATCTGTGCGCTGCTAGTTTCACCACAGGGAAGTTTGAAGAATATCCATCAATCTGGATTTCCTATTCCTTCAAACCAAAAAAAGGTGATAAAATGGCCCTTATTAGTCCCTGGGGATTCAGATTATGAGAAAGTGAGGGTGGCTCTAAATGCTACCTATCTGCTTATGACTTGTAGATGGAAGTCTGCACAATATTCATACCTGCCTGATATTCCAACCTGGATATTGTGGCAGAAAGAGTGGTGCTCACCAAACATCCCATCTACTACCCCATGTTTCCCAACCCCACTTACAGGTGATTGAGACCTCATGGCTAGTTTTGGCCAATGGACTGTGAGTGAACGTGCAGTGTCACTCCTAGACTTAAGCATAGCAGAACTGATATGAGACTTCTCCACTCACCTCTTTTTTTCTGTCACAACAACTGACATTCTAGACCAGCACTAGACCAGTTTTTTTCAGTCAGATCTCACGGACCACCGGTTGGCGACTGCTCTTCTAGAGGGTAGAGCCTCCACCAGCTTGAGTCCCTGAGTGACTATGTGAGAAGGAGACTACCCACTCCCTCCCCCAACTCACCAACTTCTACCAAGCTATAAATGACATGTAACTTAAGTGCAAAATAAACATTTATGGTGTTAAGCCACTGAAATTTTAAGATTTCAGTTTATTATTGCAACATAGCATATTTAATCTATCTCATACATAACTGTCTCAAATTTTATGTGTTCAGAGTTGAAATAATTTCCTCCCATAAACATACCTATACTTCCTTTGTCCCTGCCATCTCCATAAGTGACAACATTGTCCATCTTTGTTGGTTTTGTTTTTAACTGTTCCCTTTTAACCCTAATAGGGGATAGAGTCCTGGAGTGTTAGTCCAATTGAAATTCCTTTACATGAGACCACAGGGTAAGGGATGTGAGTTCCTGTCTAATACTCCACAGAGCCTGGTGTTTCTGGTCTGGGTGTGCTGCATTGAGGGAGAGTCTATAAAGTGCCAGAGTCTCCACATCTGCTGCGAGGGGCATTTTAAGTCTTGAACACAGAGGCTGATTTCAGCTCCTCTTGTTATGGAATGAATTAGTTTTATGCAACTTGCCTGCAGAGGTGATTCTCCAGTATTCCTCACCTTTGTGCCACCTGGGGTATCACCTGTGCACATTTTTGACTCTGCTGTTGCTATTGCTCCATCTGGTTTCCTCTGGTCATAGGGAGCAAGAATACCTCTGCCACATGCTTTTACAGACAGTGCTTTTCTTCTTTTTAAAAAATATTGTTGAAAGTATTAGATCATTCTTTTTCCCCCCATTAACCTCTTCTAGCCAGCTTCTGTCCCCACCCCACCCCATTAGGCCCTCACCACACTATTGCCTGTGTCCACAGGTTGTGCATACAAGTTCATTGTTTGGTCTCTTCCCATCTGCCAACTGGCTCATTTCACTTAGCATAGCCAATCCATGCTGTTGCAAATGGTAAGAGTTCTTTCTTTTTTATAGCAGCATAGCATTCAATTGTGTAAATGTACCACAATTTTTTTATCCACTCAACTGCTGATGGAAATTTAGGCTGTTTCCGAATATTAGCTATTGTAAATTGTGCTGTCATGAACATATGGGTGCATGTATCCTTTCTGACTGCTGTTTCTGATTCCTTGGGATATATTCTGAGAAGTGGGATCACTGGGTCAAATGGGAGTTCCTTTTTTAATTTTTTGAGGAAACTTCATACTGTTTTCCACAGTGGCTGCATTCCCACCAGCAGGGGACTAGGGTTCCCTTTTCTCTACAGCCTCGCTGACACTGCCTTTCTTTGGTTCTGGGATTTGCATGATGCAATATGCCTTCAGAGCTTCAGGCCCCTCTGCTGTGTCCTGTTCCTCCTGGGAAGGCTCAGCTGTTTCTGACAGGTTAACTTGCTTCTTTCGTTGATCTCTTTCTCTGCCACATGCACTGTGTGCCAAAACTGAGTGCCTTCCTTGCTTCCTTTTATTTTCCACTTTTTTCCTGCCCAGATTTTTTTCTGAGTCTGCATAAATAATGCACTGTGCAAAAACAATTCTTCCTAAAGTTGGATCGTACCAATAAGAGATAACCTTCCATCAGGCCAACATCTGAGCCAGACCTGTACTTGCTCTGGTATTGTCCAGCCGACTTTACTTTAGTGTGTGTCATCTTGGTTGTATCTCCTCTAGGACCTAACTCAACACAATTCTCTTACCTGTTCCCTCAGGTATAGGCATTACAACTACAATAACTATCACTTTCAAACTCACCTATAAACACTGGGTATTTAATCCTAGTTTTCCTCATCTTCTTCCATAAAACTGTCCAAATTTCTGTAACCACTTATATCTGCACTCGTCATCAAGGAAGTGTTTCCAATGGTCTAGCCCCAAAGGTGGGGTTACATAGTCGAAATGTGATTGCTAGAGGCTTGTGTATATGTGTGTATGTTTTCTGTTTGGAGATGAGGACAATTCCCAAAGAAAGGGTTATTGTGAAGAGAGCAGAGGCTCCTAAAAGGTATCCACTTGGAGAGTCATTTTGTATAGTAACATATTGACTCTGAGGGGTACTTCTGTAAAGAAAGCTGTTGGGAAAAGATGAATAAGTTAGAAGATACCATAAGGAAATATTAAGAAAAATTAATAATGTGGGATATTCTGCCAGATAACTGGCTTGGTCTCTTCAAAACACAATATCTTTTCAAAAAGGTCAGGGAGGGAAGATGGTGGGTTCTCCCTGAGGAGGGTGTTTGTGCTTTAAAGCTGATGCTCTCTATCCACCTTCCAGGCATTGAAGTCCTTGTTGAAGTCCCTGCTCCAGAGCCTCTCACAGTGGAGTTTTTGGATGTATTTGAGAGGAGAGACAACATGAAGACGAAATAAAACACCTCACAGTGTGGTCTCCATGTAGGAGCTCATTGTTCCTGACTCTCTCCTGTGACAAAGGACAGAAGGGAGTGGCCTTCTCCTCATTTCCAGCTCCTTCTGACTGTGAGTGTGAGGTGAGCTGATTAACAGGCTGTGCGGACTCCTTTGAAGGCACATTCTGGGACTCCTCAACATATTGTCACCTGAGAAAACAACACAGATCCCTATCAGGACCAGGACCAAATGGCTGCTTCTCAGGAACCGTTGACCTTCATGGATGTGGCCATAGAGTTCTCTCAGGAGGAGTGGGAATGCCTGGACCCAGTTCAGCGGAAATTGTACATGGATGTGATGTTGGAGAACTATAGCAACCTGGCCTCCCTGGCTAT